GGAGTAAGTTCTTTTTCCAAACCGGTCCAAAACCAGATGTGGAAATGTTTAGCTAATTCCCCTTCCCATTCTCCATGCAAAGAGTTCACACGTGTCTCTAAAGACATCAGAGGAGATGGGGGAACAAAAATCCCATCTGCATTCAAGGAGATTTGTGTTACACTTCTCAGTCTACTCTCTAACAGAACAAAACTAATATGGACTTCAGCTTTTGTCTCTTTTTAAAAAAGGATCTTTTTTGTCCTGAGATGAAAAATGCTCTGTGTTTACACCAGTGTTCGATCTCATATAAGACTTTAAGAAATAGAGTTCATGGTAAAAACACTGAAAACTTACTTTCAGTAATTTGGAAACATATAATACATTATTATTAACTATAGTCACCATGCTGTGCAATAGATCACCAGAATTTTTTCTTCCCGTCTCATGGAAACTTCATACCCTTTGACTAACATCTTCCCTTTTCGCCCCTCCGCTCCAGGGACCCAATAACCAACCTCCTCTTTACTTCTATAATTAAGTAAGGTGATGGGCAGGGCAAGTTAACCAGCATTCCACAATGTATAAATAGATGATAACATTGTACCCCATAAATATATACAATTTGTATTTGTTGATGTTAAAAAAAAAAAAAAGATCAGCTGCTGAACTTCATAGGCAGCATTTCAGCATACAGAATTAATGAGGGTTAAGTAGCAACTATTTTTCTTTTTTCTTCTTTTTGTTTGTTTGGGCCAATCCATTCTCTTCCTGTCTATAAGTAGAAAAGTAGGCTGTCTTATTTCACAAAGTCCTACAAGCTCTCAGTCTAGCTTTGCTAATCTGTATATTCTCAGTGACTGATATAGGTATCTTTTAAACAAGCACTTGGATTCCTCTGAACTTAATTAAAAGAGCAGCTTTGATTACGGGAAGAAAAGGAAACCGAGTGCATATTCCCAAAACAAAATGTTTCATGATTTTTTTTTAAACATAAGGATTTATGAAGGGTTAGTAGGGAGTTCTTGGGGGGAAAAAAGGAAGGAGGAAAATTCTGTTATAAGGGCTAATGGGAAATGTATATGCATAAACCACATTGAGAAAAACAGAAAGCTACTTGTACTCCGTAGCTTTGAGGCAAGCAAACATTTTACATCCAGGTGTAAGCAGCTCTGGGTTTGCCTGGCCTCTCTATAGCTCAGTTCAGGACAGTATGAACCAATAGCTGCGTGGCTTCTACAGATGTATCTAGTTCAGGGTTTCTGGAATGTTGCAAAAAAGAGGGAGGATAATTTGCAATCCAGTCAAAATAGTAATATGGAATTGCAAAGCCTGAGACCTGCCTTCTTTCTCAACCCAAACGCTTCGGCAAGAAGCTAAAGTGTAGTCTCAAGGTAAGCATTCCCTTCTTTGCATTTATTTCTCGCCCAGTTCTTGGCTCCACCTCAGTGCTATAGATTTCTGGGATAGAAACTCTTAAGTAGAATTCTCCCCACAGCTCTTGGGATACTGCGCAGGGCCCCAACTATGGCTAAAAATACCTTCAGTCTGACAACTGAACACTAACCTCTCTTCTGGTATCTTCTTCCCATCTTTAGCCCCTCAGCCTTCTTTCCCCCCAATCACCAGAGCCCACCTTCTCCCTCCCTTGTCCAGGAGCCCATTCTGCCAGCACATCTCAGTGAGGTGTTAGAAAAGCAAGCTGATGTGATGAATTTATTCTGTGCTGGGAATAGTCATTCACTAATAACCATCCCCCAACACACCCCCCCCCACTGCTCTACCCTTCCCTGGGAATTGCAGGCAGCAGGGGAAGAGAGGCTGCCTGTTTTGATGACCTATACTAAACAAAAGGGAGCAAGTCCCAAAGCTGCCTCCAGCAAGGCATTAGCGAGCTCATTAGCGAGTACATTCTGCAGTCCTAATCTCCCTCCTCTTCCCCTTGAGGACCTCAGAGACACAGCCTTGAATGTGGGTCCCAGTGACTTCCTCTTTCAGCTTTATCTGAGCTCAAATGTATGTTGTCACACACATAGGCATCTTCATTTATTGTTCCCATCACATGGCAATCTGTTCTTGGCTTTAAGAAAATCAGAGGAAGCAGATTCTGTGCTGTCCAAGTCTGGAGATTTGTTTAAATGAACCCCCCAAATGCAGTAATGCTATTTGCTTGCCCTGAGCAAAAACCTCTTCCTTTGAGATTAGTTCAGTACAAAGTGGAAATGTGTGTTGCTGGGAGTGATTTCTTGGGGGACGATTGTCTTACTGTAGAAAATCTAGACTTTTTATACCTCTATTTGAATTATCCATGACAGAGAGAAAGAAGAGAGAGGAGTAGACAAAAGATGCTTGAGGGAAGGAGATGAAATATCTGCCTTAACTCCCTGGACAAGAACGGCCGTAAACTTGGGTCTCAGTTTTGGGGTTTGAACAACAAAAATGGAATGAAGGATTGTTTTGTTGGCCGATTCCAGTAAGTACTTAAAGAGGAGGGTTTTGTTCAGGACAAGCAGGCCCAGGCCATGAGATGATGTTAAGGAAGGAGAAAGGAAAAGAGAGAGAGAAAGCCACTCGCAAAGCATGCTTAGGACTAGGTGGTCTTCTTAAGACCAAGACAGTATAATGCAGCGGGGATGGGGTGCTGATCTCAGCTTTCAAAGGGAACCCCAGCAAATATCAGCCTGTGGTTTCTTTACTTATCTGTGGAGTCAGCCAGGACCAGCTCACATCAGAATTGACTTGTGGTGTTGTTTTATTTTGTTTGTGTTGGGTTTTAAGAAGAAAGGATTTTTGTTTGTTTGTTGTTGCTGCTGCTGCTGCTGCTTTCATTTTTGCTTTGTGAAAAAACAACAAAGAGAGATATTTCAGAATGAGCAAAGAGGAAGGAAAAAGACTTACAGACCTCTAAGGTTTCTCCTTTACATCCCAACACCCCCCAGAGAAGGAGGAGTCATTAATGAGAGGGTGAGAGGTAGGGAGAGTGATCTGTACCCATCAGAAACGAAACATTTCATCCAGACCAGGGGACTTTTCTAGTGGGCTCCTATGCCATGGTTTCTATTAAAGAATGCAGCAAATTCATCCCTATCAAGGGAAAAGAAAGAAGTTTTTGCAACTGGGGAAAAGGGAAGGAAAGAAATATCTTCAGATGCTTTTCGGTCCAGTGCTATGCACCTAGGAGGCGTTCAATAAATATGAGTCAAAGAATGAATGAATTTATGCAGATGTTAACTTATCTCCGCCGGAAACCAAAATGAATCCCTACACTCCCACATGCACATTTCCTTCCAGATTTTCATCACTTTCCTACGCGAAATATGTCATTTTCACTTTGAAAATGAAGCCGAGTTGGACAACATTTAATGAAGTTGCTCTTGCTTCTTTCATTTGTCACCTTCTTCTGATAGTGTGGCCACTTTCTAGTCATACTACCTTTTACCTCTTAAAGAATGGTGAGCAGAGAAACAAACATTCCACCATTCAATCCATAGCAACATTCTAATGGTGTCCTTGGCTCAGCACCTGTAGCTCAACTGGCTAGGGCACCAGCCACATACACCGGAGCTGGTGGTTTTGAATCCAGCCCAGGCCCTCCAAACAACAATGACAACTACAACCAAAAAATAGCCAGGCGCTGTGGCAGGCACCTGTAATCCCAACTACTTGAGAGGATGAAGCAAGAGAATCGCTTAAGCCCAAGAGTTAGAGGTTGCTGTGAGCTGTGACACCATGACACTCTACCCAGGACAACATAGTGAGATTCTCTCTCAAAAAAAAAAAAAAAAAAGGTGGGCAGAGCAGTGAGGAGGAAAAGGCAGTAAGAATAAGGGTCTAGGTTCTGCGCCTGTGGCTCAAGCAGCTAAGGCGCCAACCACGTACACCTAAGGTGGCGGGTTCGAATCCCCAGCCCGGGCCCACCAAACAACAATGATGGCTGCAACCAAAAAATGGCCAGGCATTGTGGCGGGTGC